ACAAAGCAATTCTTAAAGCCTCATCATTTAATCCTGATCAGCAAAAGTCCTTTAAGGGTTACCAGAGATAACAATTCTATTTTAACTTTGATCAGATAAACCAACTTTATATTCCTTTCTTTTTCTTTTAACAATTTTGATCTTTAGTTCCTTCAAATTATATCCTACAACTTTTTGTTTTCAAAGCTTTAATGGGTATCTTTTGTAAATACAATATAGGAAACTTATCCAGGACACTTTTGGGGGGTTCATTATGTGTATATTCCTTTTGATTATTAAGACATCATCCAGTTTCATTTATATGTCCAGTGTAGCATCTTTTTCCATATCATTCTTGTATTTAACTCTACTTTCAGATCAGTCTCAGTTTTTCCAGAAAAATTGTTCCTCTTCCATAACATTTTCTAAATACAGTTTATCAATAGAGGCAGATACTCTTAAAATTAACTTCTGCATTCCTTGTTCACAAATATCCTTAACTATTCCAATGTTATAATATTTTCTTCTTTCTGTATTAGTAAATCAAATTTGTAAGTGTTCTTCTTTAATTGTAATCTTTAGTTCCTTATGATTTTCTCTCTAATTCAACTTCAAAGTTGTATCTTATTTTTTTAAAGATAATTCAAAACAAAGAATTTTCCTACAGGGAGGAATTTTATAATTAATTCCAAAATCTTATTTTAAATCCATCTGGATCCTCTGTAACTTTCAAAAAATCAAAGTTCTAATTACTCTTTTGCTGTTTATTTCTAAGTAAATTTTAAGTCTTTAAACCTATGTTTATAACTTAAACTTATTTTGCTGAAGACTGAAGGATACCAACCCACTGTTGTAAAATTTGTTAATTCAAGGATTCCTAATAGCTAAAAATGCAGCTAACAACAACTTTTCAAAAATGATTAGAAAAGAAAATATGCAAACTCAGTGTCCTTCTGTAGGCACCGACTATGGTTTGAGCAAAAAAATAGTATTCTCTCGTCTCCCAAAGAAGACTGCTGTCCTGAGGTTGTTGTTTTTTTTTCCACAAGGATCAACTGCCTGGAGCACTTGTTGGCAATCTCAAGTCCCCTCCTTATCCAGAGAGGAATTATGAAGGTCTACTCACTGCTCTTCATTTTGCCCCTGGTCATCCTCAGTTTGTCATTTCTTCCCCAAAAGTCCAGGAAAAAAATTATTCTGCTGCATTAGATTTATGTTTAATACACAAGTCACAAAATAGTAAGTTTATATGCAAGGTAATAATAAGGGTCCATTGCAGGAGTTTTTAGAAATGTCATACATTTTTCATCTTTACTGAAAATGAAGCAAGTGTAAGTCTATTCAGGAGTGCATTTGAGACCATTTTTCTCTCTCAGAAAGTCATTGAAATGACCAGGAGCTAACCAGAAAATTTAAGCTTGTTCTATAGAGAAAAGCCATCTGAAAATGGTAAATGTCTTGAACAGATATGAGTATGTCAGACATGATTTTTCAAATAAAAAAGGAAAATTGGAGCAATATACACATCCTGGAGACTATGAGTAAAATATTCTTAAAAGTTAGGTGAACAAAAAATATTAGGAAGATAAGAAATTTCTTAAAGTGATTAAGAATACAAATTCAATCATAATTTCTTCACAAAAAAATAAATAGGAAAAATCATAAGAAAAGTTTCCATTTGCAAGCCAACTTGGAAAAATCTGAGAAAGATAAGTGAAGAATATGTTCTAGAACAAATATTGTACTCAAATCAAAAGCGTAATGATCAGCTTAAACCCTGGTGTGCTGCATTCCCTGCATTAATTAGTTGATTTGGTAGAATATTTGATAGAATATTTGGTAGAATATCTACTTGATTTTAAAACACTTCTCTTTTAGCTTTTTTATTCTGCATGGTGAAACCTACACAAATGATAGAAAAACAAAGCAAAATACTAAGACATCTCATTTTTAAAACATGCATACTTTTTAAACAATATATTCATGATTAACAGTGGAAACTTTTGTCCTTGCTTTTTTTGACTAAGGAAAAAAAAAATTCTCTCCCACTGTCCCAACTATGCTTTTTCATGAGGCAACTGAACTTCCTTGTTTTTCTTGGAAGAAGTTTTGCTTCTCATCCAAGAAATGTCTTCAAAACGAAATGTCTTCAAAGAAAAACAAGAAAATCCAGTTGCCTCATGAAAAAGCATCTTTGGGACAACTACAACCTGGATGGTTGAGAATCTCCACAGACATTCTTTCCAAAGTCCTTCACTTAAAACCTCCACCCTTGCCCGAATGTGTTCCAAACAAACACTTATTTCTAAGCAACAAGCCTGAGTTCCTTAGCATTATCTCCTGCAAGAATTCAAAACCCAATATCTCAAATGATTTCTACTTCTCATCACCTCAGCAATGCGTTGCCTCATTTGTTCCATATGCTCACGTTGCCTCTCTCTCTTCTTCATCAATTGAAGGGCCCGGCCAGCCTCGCTGGCAGCTCCTTTGTATTGTGCCATGATCGCTGCTGGACCTGTGAGGTACAAAACAGATACATGAAGCTGCTGTATCTTTACTGCCTTCTCTGACAAGCGGCAGCTCTCCAGAAACTAACCAAGTCTTACTCCTTATGATCCTTTTAATTGATGCTGCTACGAAAGGTCAAACCTGGGATCGGGTGCCTGTAAAGCAGATGATCTACTACTGATCATCAATGGCAATCGTAAAGACAACCCACAAAAACAGAAAGAGATCCAAGGACTGGAAGGCAGGGGCAGATATGGCATAAGATGTGGGATTTCTGGATCTGGCACGAAAAATTGTGAAACGAAAAGAAACCCAATACAGAGAGATCGCTGAGATCCTTGCCTCGTCAAAATGCTGTGGAATTTCTTTCTCCCCCTCCTTCCCAAATGTTCAGAAAAACCTTCTTCTAACCGCAAATCCCACCAGCCGCTTCACCCACGTCACTCGCACGCACCAGGACAGAACTGAACTTTAACCTTCCTCTTCCTATTTTCCCACGACCGGCGATACACGGAACAAGATTCGGAAACTCAATCGATTCACAGCCGGAAGTTCCGGTAGAAAGGGATTGTTCCCATTATCTATGAGCGTTCGGGAGGTTGTTCTAGCCTTGACAGCTCTATGATAAGACGACTTTTATATTTGCAGAGGCGGGCTTATGGAGTGGCAAGTCGGAAGTGTCAGTCAAGACGAAAGAGGTGCGTGGTTTGCGTAGGAGCGCGATTCATCTTTGGCGTCCTCCAGACGCGGCTTCCTGGAGAAATACTAAAGAAAGGGAGAAATATAATTAATGTCTGAGTGGAAGCCTCTCCTTGATTGCGCTTCTTCCTCCCTGTTGAGAAAGTGAAAATATAGTTCTGTTACAGAATCCGATACTTGTCTGTCTAGGAATTAAATAGGACTGACTCCCAGATAACTGGGTTTTAAGCTTCCAGATAAAATTGCTGGTTTATCCATGTTGTGGTTCGTTTGGTCGCCCGCTGCAAGGAGGCATGGGAATTAATCAGCTTGAGTTGATTTTGTGCAAAATCGACTAGACCTTCAAAAATCTCAGCCAAGCACAATCAGTTATAAGAAGTTGATTGCGAGAATCTAAAACCTCGGGAAATGCCAGTTTGGCTGTTGCTGTTTTTAATTGTTAATTGGCAAACGAGGTTTTATTTCATTTTCTATCATGAAGTAATGCTTGCCCTTCCTGGGGACTAGTCACTGCTTCTTTAACATATATGTATAATAATAAAAGTCTTGCCGAGTAACGGCAAATATTTTTCAACTAGTGCAGTTTCTGTGAAGATAGGAAACTGAAATCTACGCAGCACTGTAACTCGGCTTTCATAAACCCCTCTCTCCAGTCGATAATGTACGCGTGCTTTCTGAGTTTGTAGCTTGGCGAGTCTTTGTGTGAAGCTCTGCTACTGAAAGCAGTCCCGGGTAAGGAGAAAGACGAAATCGGCATCACTTGCTTTCTGGAAAACTGCGCTTCAAAAGCATTGCAATGAAACGAGCCCTTTAACCGTTGTTTTCCACTCACGCGTGCTAATTGACAAGTTATGCATTATACGTCATGTTTACTAAATATGGTTTAGCAGTGTTTCTCAACCTTGACAATTTTAAGGCATGTGGACTTCAACTCCCAGAATTCCACAGCCAATTCTGGGAGTTGAAGTCCACATGCCTTAAAATTATCAAGGTTGAGAAACACTGGTAGCAGGATACACGAACCTGGTGAATTGGGTGATGTCAACAAATCAACTGTAGATTGATAAACAAGCTATCATGTAGCGTATGTGAAGGGTGTTATGAACTGCAATTGGGAATGAACAATGATGATAGATTGAATTTTCCATTTTAAAAAGATGGAAATATTATGGTTGTAACTGTCCACTCATTGGCCTAAAGGAATAAAAATAATTTAAGGAAGCTGGACTCCTAGTATTCTATATATTCTTCCCATATTCTTGTGTGCAATATGGATCAATATATTTTAATGATCTTTAAATAAGATGTCATTATTTGAAAGCAATTAGGTTGGGAAGAATGTTTCCTGGTTTCCTTTGAATTTTGCTTGCACCAATTGCTTATAGAAATTGTTTGAAATATTCCTTCTTTGTGTATTAGGTACTGAATGTTCAACTTGCCCATATGATGCTAAGTTAATATATACAGAAGTGATAGATATTCATTTTTATGGATCAACAGAAAGTTGCCATTTTAAAGTTTAATATTTGAAAGAATCTGATTTACCTCAGTGGGTACCTTTGTGCCAGTTGTACATTTTAAGACCTGCACTAAATCTTTTCAGAGGGCAGTATGTAAATTTAATTGAAATAATCACTAACACTAGATTGAAGAATTTCTTTTTCACATTTTTTAATGTATAGCAGAAGCACTGTGCCAGATGAACCAAAATCCAACCCATAAATAGAGCATCTCTCAAGATAGAGCTGCATTATAAAGTATGTCAATTTCAGCTCTGTGGGTTTTTGTTTTTTTTTAAATGAATAAAGATGAGATTCAGTGGAAGACACCTTGAAATGCCTTCCTGGTTATTTTATTAATTGCTATCCAGGTTTTACAACTGTATAGCTAGAGGGAAGGATAATTACACAAAAAGAGCTTAAAGTTGTAGGAGGGATCTGCAGGAAAAATAGAACTTCAAGATTCTATTTGTAAAGAAGAATCAGGCAAAGAAAATGTTAAGAACTACTTCCAGTATTGGTTCACAAGTGGAACATTAGCCTTGCCTCCATACACACTTGAAAAAGATCTAAATCAATTAGATTAAATATTGTTAAAACGGTGGCAGCAGCAGTACTAATTTGATATTAAAACTAATACAACTGAAGTAGTCTAATTAGATATAGAGTACCACAAGAGTTGAGACTTTTTCCAAATCCTCTTCTAAGCTTTTGGACCTTGGTGTTCTATGTGGACTAAGAAAATGGATGCAGACTAGTCTTTCAATTCTTGTAAGCCAGTTGGATTCAAGCACAATTTCCAATAGTCTGGTGTAGGGAAAATGAGAGATCTGGTAATACAAATCTGTATATATTCCCATGCTGTCTTGTTCTTAGCATCACTTCCTTGTCTTAAGACTTCAACAGTAACAAAGGCGCATTATCCGACAGTCTGAAGCCAGAATCAGCTATGCAAAATAGTACATTTTTATCATTCAAAACTTTCTGGATATTATAACTGCCACTTCTTCAGAAAAATTACATAACCAAATTGAGGTGCTTCACTGATTTTTTTTTTTAATCTTTCTTCCATTTCCTGAATTTGATGTGGTCTCTTTTCTCTCACTAGTGTGAGTTAAGCCTGGACTTTACTCCCCTCATCCCTCCTCTGCAGCAATGGTATCAGACAAGAGCCAGGGCTAGACTAAGTAAATTTATTATCTTGAGACAACTGAGCAGTTGTGGGTTGGAGAGAGCTGACTCCTCACAATCCCCTAGAGTTACAGACAGATTGTTAACCGTAAAGTTGGCTTCAGAAGGAAGGAAGGCTCTAATGAAGGATAGGCCCCAGGCCTCTGTACTCATGCCACAGCCTAACCCCCACCCAAACCTCATTAATTGTCAGAAGTGCCAACAAAAAATTAACCTGCTTCATTAATAAGTTACAATAAGTTACAGCAGGTGGCAGCAAGTGGAAAGGGACAGAATCGTCTCCCTGTCCCTATATCCAGCACACAAGAGAGACATACACACATACAAATACAAATCTTCTCACGTTTTTGAGGCTAAGGAAACTAAAAGGAGTTGAGGGAACAAAATGGATGCAAGACAAACAGAGAGGCCTGTGGGAATCTCAGGTGCAAGGTGAGGGACATGGGACCAGCTGCAAGGGCAGCATTTATAGAAGAAATGGTTCAGAATGGCTCTTTGTGCCCCCACATCCTCACACAATTCCAGTCTCCTCTCAAAACAGAGGAATGCAGCTTCACATCATGATCAGAAAAAATGGGAAAATGAAGAAAAACTGATTATACATATGGCAAGATATGGTCCCAGATGGTCCATTGCAAGTTAAGCAGCAAATCAATTCACTATGCACAGGAAGGGAGAAATGCAAGGCTCAGAGGAGTTAAGAGGGGCACAGATGGCAGAGATGAGAACGCCAACAAATGGAGGGGAAACAGTGGGAAACCGCACGAAGAAAGGTGAACAGATGGTAACAGTTGGAGATCAATAGCAAGAATTAAGGCCAAAATATATATTTCATGCATGTTTTTAAAACCCAGTGGCTGTTTTTCTTTTCTTCAGTTAGAATAGACTAGTGATGGAGCGACCTACAATGAAAACTAGATGTACTTAATTCTGCCTTTGCTTATTATATTGATGGAAACCACAGGGAGAAAGAAGTTGCAACAGAAAAGCAGGCAGAATTTCCTGTCTCCAAAGGTGCTTTTTTCCTAGGAGGGGGCAGAATTCAATTCCAGGCAACTGTATGTAATACATAATATGGACCCAAATCCCTATAGGCACTGGAAAAACTGAAAGAGGTTTGTCTTCAAAGGACTGAGATTGCATTAACTTGATCCAACCTCAGTCCTGGAGAGAGGGTTATCTTATTCTTGTATGCAATAATAAAAAAAAATCCAGCAGCAGAGAAAAATTATTCTACATTTCCCCTCCCATGGAAATAAGTTACTAGACATCTGGCATAGCCTAAATGAGGATCTGGAGGAAGAGCCAATCTCAGTGAGGTGTGGGAATTAAGCCAGTCCCTAGCTGGGAGTGTGGTCCCTTACATGGGAAAAAAACAGGGAGTGTGGGGCTCAGGGAAAAAGGAAAGGAAATGGTCACTGCTCATTCTCGCCAAAGACATCATTCTGGCGCCGTTTCATGCTTTCAAAATCAAATGGAGCCCCAGCCATGCGCCGGTAAATGTCTTTGATGTCATCACATGTTGTCTCAAAGTGGGTGGTGGCATCATATGACCGTGAACAGAATATCTGCAAGGGAAAACAGGGAAACAAAATACAAGTTCACAAACTGGAGTCAATGGGGAAAGGGGGGGGGAAGCAAGATCCAGAACCAGTTCTGGAAAAATAGACTCTAAAACAATTCAGAAAACCTGGAGAAATCTCACCTGACTTTCAGTTCCATCATCAGTGGGTTCATATATATCACTAATGGCCACAAACCTGATAAGGAAAGAACAGGAGTTAAAACCATTTCAATTAAAGAAGTAGAAATCAATGGAACAAGTTGGTATGGACACATTTATGTTCCTACTCCTGATTCTAATCACATCAATATAGTTTACAGATGCAGAAACCAGCCAACAATCATTGGTCACTCATCAGCACGGATTCTTTAGCTTCAAAAAATTTCCCAGCCCAAGTTCCACTACCATTTCACTACTAGCATCGTACCTCACAATATCCATCAGAACTTCTGTCATTCTCTTAGCCATTCGGGGACCTGATATAAACCTATTTTTATTATCTGTACATCATCTTGCGCTTGATGTTTATTATACCATCATCCATTCTTCATTAAATTATTTTTCTATTCTAAAAATCCAGTATTCAGCAGTCTGTAAAATTCATACGTCCCATTTGCAGAAAATTACTCTGCAAGGCTGATGATTAGACTACACCTTTTCTTTCTGCCATGTGTAATTTTCTTCCCTGGATGGAGCAATCTGAAATGGTAAAATTACCAGCCTACCACATCTGGCTGCTATTCATGAGACTCATTCATTTTTTTCTGTACTACTGTTCATTATATTTGAAAAATCTGCAGCTCTTTACCTTAGGCTTTCATTCTTCAGCAAAGCTAGAAAACATGTCTCAGGAATTCCCATGTTTAGCAACCCTTAACAAATTGCAGCTGTGTCCCAGTGTTGTTCTTTCCCCTCACTACTTAATATATAGTCAGTATATGTATCTTCAAGACTATGAATTGTCAATAATGTTAGAAAATTGTCCCACGTTATAGCACGGGACCAATTGTCATCACAATCAACCCAGAATTACTCACTTTTGGTCAATGGGTTCAAGCAGTTCAAGAGCTGGTTGCACTTCATTCTCAGGAGAGTCTGTCTCTACAGTAGTGCTGGCAATAGCAATGTACTTGCCCTGGGCAGCCACATTGTGGGCAGAGGAAATGAGACAGACATAGATATCTGGGATTGGGGAATGAAGAAAAGAAGTTAGAATTGTTGAATTCACCCGAATTTATAGCGCCCACTATACCCAGAAGCTGATCTGAAACTCCCAACAAACTGCTGTCAGTGTGTAGCAGACAATATGGAATTAGATGGATGAGCCCACTGATTTGGTACAAAAAAACTTCTTGTATCCTTGTCGCTCAACAGAGAGACACTGGTGAAACGGGCACAGCAGAACATCCAGATTCAGTCACAATTTTGTTCCATATAGTATTAACCTTGTGAACTCTAAAGCTTCCTCCTTCCTTTATGTATTCAAGATGGACAGTGATTAATATTTGTATGTTACTTATATGTGAGGGTGTAGATCTAAATATGTTGTATATAGTATGTTTAAATATGTGTTGTGTATGTGTACACTTTGAGAGCAGGCAGCTAAATTTCATTTTTAATGTGTGCCATTGTACCCACAGTAAAAAAGAATGACAATAAAGGTTATCTATCTATCTGTCTGTCTGTCTGTCTAAAATAAATATCTGGATTCCCATATTCATTAAGCCCACCCTATTTGACATAGTTGCCATGTACTTAAAGGTCATAAAAATGGTACTAGATGTCTGATACTCCAATCTGCAGAAGTAGCTCAAAGCTTAGTATATTCAATATTCCCATATCTCTGAACTCCCATATCAATTTGCCCTCACCAGATTTCCGTCCCACTTGATTTTGGGGAATGATAATTTGACAGGAATTAGCATCGCTGGTGCCACGGATGGGGTGACTCAGAATACAGATGACGCGCACAACCTTCCCTGCTGGGCGCACTCGATCTGGCACATAGCTGGGATCACAGATCAACTGTTTGCAGCGTGCCACCTGGAGGGAGAATCAGCATTAGCAGAAAGAAAACATTGGATTCACCAGTTCTTTCCTGCACAACATCACTTGAACTCCCAGCCTTCTTCTACACAGCGCTCTCTATAAGTACTGAGGCTGAGAATTCTACCAACACATTTGGAGGATGCCAGGTTGAAGAAAGTGGACTTAAATGCTGAATCTTGAATGTTTAATTCAGAAATTCATTTTATAGCAGTGTAGACAAAATACTGTATCCTCACACAACTGCATATAAATTAACCTCAATACTATGTGTATTCTCATGTCTGCTAAAATGTTCATTATGAAAGAGCTGTAATATTTATTGGGGGAGGGGAGAAGCAAAACCTGCTGGAAACATACCTGAGGTTAATATTTGAGGATTTTAAAAAAAATATTGCTGATATGTTTTCATCTGATCCTCTCCCTTTGGGTGAGGATTTTAATGTTTCAACCCTTTTCAACTAGATCAGCTTTCAGACAGGATTAGATGACTTATGTGGGAATGACTGAATGAAAGTAACTTAGCCAGGAATAGCACAAGAAAATGATGAATGTTAAGAAACCAGAAGAGGGCTTCTGTAGCTCTTGAAACAAAAACCCAGAAACACTTGTAGGGGAGAACTAGGCTTCACTACTGAAACTAAAATTTCTTCAACACTCCTTGCCTTTTCCCAAGTAAGCTTTAACTCAAGGAAGGAGGAACAAAAACCAACAAGAAGAAGGAAGCAGTATTGTCAATGGTGCTAAATCAGGAAGCTTGTCACTGTCATCTTCATTCAGAATATTTCCAATAAGCTTATAGATGGATGTTGTGTCAAGCGAAGGGGTTGAGCCAAAAGGCTGAATTAAAAAATTGTCAGATTTTTGCCCCTTTAATTTGCAAGTTGAGGAAAGATCATACACCAGCCTCAGTATGGCGTCCAGGGTACCAGCTATTGCCTTTGATGTTTGCTCTAGTGCACTGCCTGGTGCAATGGAAAGAAGCTAGCCATATAGCTAAGTGTTAGGAAACATTCAAGAAAACAGAGCACTGACAAGGAAGTTCCCTTGTTCTAAAAATGCCTCATGCTTCAAATTCAAAGCCTGTGGGGTAAAATGGTTCAATAAAATGGTATTTCCTTTCCTCTTGTTTAAGGGTTGGGGAAGCCAAGAGCAGATAGGGTTTTACAGCTCTGTGTTAACAGTCAACAGAAACCCATGATTCTCTGAATTCCATCTGGTTAATAACTGATTTGGACCCATGCTCCATGGATGCTTTCATTGAGCATGCAGAAGTTTTCACTGAGATTCTATTATCAGCAGTCTTATGAAATTTCTGCTCTTCTAGACTTTGCACCATCCACGTTTTATTGAGTAACTTGGCATGGGAAGAAATGCAATAAATAAATAGCAAAAAAACAAACCCCAACTTCCTCAATAATACATCGAAAAGGGCGTAGGATAGAGAAAATGAAAGCACTGGTATTGAAATTAAGTATCGGAGCATAAAGATATATTTTCCACAATTCTTCATTAAATACCCAGGTCTGCTTTTATTGTCATAGTTGAGATTCAAGAAAGGAAAATTCCCCATTCCAATTGCTTCCAGTCAATTTGGACCAGTTTAAGAGTAATGTGATGGGTTTTGATGAATAAAAAGTAGCTTCTAAACCAGGAGTGTCAAACTGCCAGCCCGCAGGCCGAATACATCATAATGAAACCGCGCCCACCCCATTGCCGGCAGTGCAAAAAAGTCTCAACACGTCATGTAACGTTGCAAGTTTGACACCCCTGTTCTAAACGGAGTAAAAGTAATCCTGAAGTTCTTAAAACACGAAGTACTTAAGTTATATAATGGAATAACTTTCAAAGACAATCTATTTCAAGAACCATCTTCCCTATACAATTGACCTTAACAGCAATTTTATGGCCTTTAATCAAATGGAATGAAAATACCAATTTTCAATGCTCACCTCTCCTTCCGATTTGACTCCAATGACCTTGCCACCTTCCATGACAATCTCATCTACTGGTTTGTTGAGCATGTAGGTGCCACCATAGATAGCGCTGAGCCTGATGGTATTAAGTTAATGAATGGTGAAGGGCCCTGGCCAGACCATCACCTCCACCACCCCTTGCCCCCAAAGGCACACCTTGCCAAATAGCTGTAAATGCTGGGCTATGCCAAAGACATGCAAGAATTATTTTCCCTGTCTCAACTGTCTCAAGTATTATACTAGGGGGCTTTATTGCTTTTTTTCAATAGAATTTAGCTTCTCCTCCTCATATAAAATTAAATCAACTTTCTTGAAGCCCTCAAGTATATACAGTAGTGGCCAAAATTGTAGAAACCTTTTGGGAAAAGTGTACAGTAGAAATGCCACCTTTGGTTAAGTTTCCACCAAGTTTTCTTCTAATTTCTTTATAACTGTAGCCTTGTTCATTTAATAATACTATTTTACATCGCTTTCTGGGCAACCAGTCAACTCTTTGCACCATTACTTTAATTTTATTACGTTTACAAGCTCACTAAATGAAATAACACAAAAAACCCAACCAACTTGATAGCGATCACATAACACACTGACAAATGTCCTCCTCTCAGCTTCAATACATGACATCGATAACTGAATCCTACTGTGATCTGATTGGCTCATTGCCAAAACAAGATAACACCTGATTGGCTCTCTAAACACTCATGCTCATTGGCTACAATCAGATGAAGGAAAGCTACCTGATATCAACCTAAGCAAGTTGTGCTTCCTTTTTCTGGTTATTTGGCTATAACTTTTCGTAGAATACAGTACATTGTATTTGAACAAACTTTGTTGCATTACATTCTTGATTAAATTATCTTTCCATTGATATATAATTTTATGGTACTACTCCCAAAAAAGTGGAGTTATTAGCCATCAAACCTCAAAAATACACTTTTCCCAAAAGGTTTCCACAATTTTGGCTACTACTGTAGGAACAGTAAGGCTATGCTCACTGAGAATTCAAGGCATTATAGTCCAAACATATTTGGAGAATGCCAAGCTAGAAAAATATTGATATAAAATGCCTTTTTCTTTTTAATGTATCTTACCTTCTAGTCCCAAAGGTGCTTTTCCAACAAGCAACTGGACTTTCATGGTAAGCAAAACAAGTCCAGTTGCCTGTGGGACAAACACCCTTGTGACAAACATGACCTGGATGATTGATAATCTCCACAGGCATTTACCTTCTAGGCCAAGAATAAAATCAGAAGCCAAAGCTGCCTCAGGCTGCTGACTGTCCATGATGCAAACCGTACCTGGCAAAGCCCTGGGGAAGCTCACCGAGGCCGTACAGTGGGTAGAGATAGGGGCTCTTCCCATAGCGGGCCAGGGATTCACTGTACAGTTTTATGCGATTGATGGTTTCCAAGCAAGGTTGATCCAAGTAGCTGTGAAAGAGAATAGACAATGTTCACAGTGGTTGTGGACTGCTTTACACACTGATGTTTTTATGATTATTGTATTGATCCTGTATTTATATTACTTGGTATATTTTAATCGCCCATTATCTGTGAGAAGAGCGGCATAAACATTTAATAAACAAACACTGGGATCTGCTCAGACATTAATGATTAAAGAAACTGAAAGAGAACAACAGAATTTTGCATGAGTTTTCTATAAACTCCCTCCTGAACAGCCTTAAGTGAACCCCTAGTTCACTCTCAGCTGACCCAGCCATTCCCAGAAGAAATGTTGATTAGAAGAAGTGTAGGACCGTAATCAGTGTGGTAATATAATCAGAAATAAAGAGGCATGAAGATAGGGCAGCTGATTGCAAGAAGGCAAGCTATGGGCAATCACTCACTCATCAGTGCGGTAGAGAGCCAATGCATGTCCTGTGAAATCGATGACATCCTGACCAAGGTCAAAGCGTCGGTAGACTTCGCGCATGGTAGTGACATGAGGATCCACTCCCTCCAAGGTCTTTGAATCATTCTCATCAAAGTTTGCCACAAACACCAAGAACTTGCGGAAGCGTCGTTTCTCAAACATGCCCATGAGATCTGTGAGAGAATGAGGGTTAGAGGAGGGATGGTGAAAGGCAGGTTAAAGAGCTAAATAGAACTTTTACAACCCTAGAATTTGCCCCGACTAGTTTAGTTCAAGAGATCTTAAAATGCTGTCAACAGAATGCAAATGTACCATCTTCAAAGGAAGAGAGAACGCCTCTCTCCCTCCTTTAATCTTGGTGGACTATGGAATATCAGAACCCTGTTTTTGAATCTGTACACATATAAAGAGTAGCATCAGAACTCCACAATCTCAATACTTGAAATACGGCAAAAGGATTTATAGTCAGGAAGGCAATTATGGCCCATATAAATATATACATCTGAAAAATTTATGCTGCAAGGGATTAACTCTAAAAAAAATAATTAAAAAAAATACAAGTACCACCTACAGAAAAAGCTATCTGGTGAAGCTCAATTATAACCATACTTCCTTATAACCTGTTAGCTCTATAGCTGATAATATTTGGTCTAATCACTCCTTATATAAAAATATAGGTATAGATTTTACCTTCCAAGGAGGCATGTCCAATCCACTGACTTGGGAACAAAGAAAGAAAATGGGTGGAGAGTACCTGGCTCATCGCAAATGACCATTTTCAGATTCAAACTAAAAAAACTTATTCAAGAGAAAAAAGTATACTTTGGGTCTGAAAAATATCATTCTAGAATTTTGCTAATGTCATTATATACTGCACTGGTTCAAATTTCATTTCAGAATAAGTTTGATAGTATTTTGGCAGCTGCTTTATCTATTTAAACAACTGCAGGTCTATTGTAAAACAGAATGCATAAAATAGAATATATTTCTTAAAATGGAGAATGCTAATAAATACGCAACTCAAGTTTCCTGTAATTTTCAACACACCAGATTTAGCATTTATGAAACCAGCTTCACTTACTGGAAGACAGTGCTTCTGTCTCTGTCGATGGCACTTTGTAAATCTTTCCTGCCTTGTAGACAAAGCTGCCCTCCACCACTTTGAAATCTAGGTAGCGTGTCACCTCTGTATATAGTAGCATCTTCACAAGTTGTCCTATATGGAAAACAGTGAAAGAGGTCCCTGAAACTCTTCCGCCCGCCTCCATTACAGCTCCCACAACGCATGCAGGAGATTGTAGAAGTAGGCAGCACTCAAATAATTTATAATAAACAATTACCACTCGGTAAATGAAAAGAAATTGCAAACAAGAAGTAAAAAACTTGGAGGTGAACATGGAACGTATGAGTTGAGCTAGAAGGGACGAAGCTCCAAGGGCTGCTGGGAGTGCACATTTATTCATTAACGTAAATCAACAAAATGCCAAATGTCCTGGCATTCTTCAGCAGCATACATTTCCCAGTGCTTCAGCAACATATATTCCCAGTGACTTAAAATAGTGTAAATAGTGTCTCTTGTAATAATGTCCTTTGTTCCTTGATTACTATTCATCTACAAGAAAAATATACCATATCTCTGGCTAGGTGACCAAAACATCTAAATAGAATGGGACTTACCATTGGCCATGAGGAATTTGGGGATAAGATCAACATTCCAGTCCCGGCCACGCCCCATGCACTCAGGGGGCCCCTCTGTAATTTCGAAGCGTTTGTAAAGCTGGCAATTGTGGAAAGGATAAAACAAGCGTCATAATATTGTACTTACAAAAGACATTCCCATTAGAACTTGCTCTACTAGCATAAGAGAGCCAGTCTGCTATAGTGGTTAAGGTATCAAGCTAAAAATTGAGAGACTGTGGGTTTTAGTCTTGCCTCAGGCATAAACCCAGCTGGGTGACCTTGGTCAATCTCCCTCTTAGCCCTGGTTGAGAAGCATTGGCAAACCACTTTTGAATAATCTTGGCATTAAAACTTTAGGGACTTGTCCAAGCAGACCCTGAGAATCAGACATGACTGAATGGAAGAAAAAATACTAGCGTAACATAATATAGTAGTACCTCAGTATTCATCATTAATTGGTTCCAGGAGTTGCAATGAGTACCAAAAACGATGAATAGCAAACAAATTTTTCACACAAGGAATAATGTAGCAAGTCACAAGGCAGTTGACATCGACAAGTTCTAGTTCGTGCGTTGACTACCAAATAAACTAGGAGTACCAGAACAACAAACTTTTGTGTCAAAATGCATTAAATACCAAATTTGATGAATTTCAAAGCAGTTGAGTACCAAGATACCACTGTATATCAATGCCCACAAAATACAGAAAGGAGCTCTAGCTCATTTTTATTCACCAGAGTCTGCTTGTTATTTCTTTTGGAGCAGAACAGCACAAAAAATTGTCAATTCTCTAACAGGAGATTGCATGATAGGTATTACAGCCTCATCACCCCAAACTTATTGTCACCCAGTTACTTTCGAAGTTTCTTAGTGCAAAAATACTTCTCTCTATATATACCATTTTAGAAGGAAAACTGGCACACACACAGATAAATTTCACCTTTTTGTGTTGTAAACTGGCATATGATGGGGGGGGGGAAACCTAAGTAAGTAAGTAAGTATGTACGTACGTACGTACATATATACATACATATTAAATGTTGGGGGAAAGGAAAAGTAACTATATTACTTTCATAAACCTGCAACCATGGGCTTATAGCTACTTTTTGTAAGAGGGTGAGGGTACCCATTGCATTCACATTGGAAGTAATTTGTTAGGAAATTTCCAAACACTCTTAGTAATCAAAACACATTATAGGAATGTTCACAGATACCATTCCATTACTTGAATAATTCCTGCAATATAATGAACTGTACATTAATCCAGTAAGTTTGTGCCAAGCCTTATTGTATTATTCAAGTGCCAAACTTTGTGCAAATAGAACTGCAAGGTGCTTAACTGCTTTGGTTTAATGTGCTGTCCAAGCCCAGCCTATAAAGAATGAACAAATTCTAGACTGCATGTGGCATTCAGACTTCTCTGCTATGGCATCTAGATCACATCACAGAAAATGGACAATGTAATTTCCTATTATTTTCCAGCGGAAAACTAAAGAGATAAATTATGAAAAGCCTTTGGATATGCTTAGCACATTTAATTAAGCAGGAATGAAAAGGATAAAGAGAAAATAATTGATTTTTTTTAGGAAGTTCTGGTTCTCTTGCATTAATTCAGTATCCTGTCTTCTGAAAATAATCCAGTAACAGTAATGTGCAGTTTCCATATTCTGTGTTAAATTGACTTTTAATACAAATACAAGTAGTCCTCAACTTATAACCATTTATTTAGCAACCATTCAAAACTGTAACAACACTAAAAGTCACTTTGACTTGCAAGTATTGAAGTATCCTTGCAGAAAGGTGATCAAAATTCAAGTGCTTGGCAATCAGCATGTATTTAGGATGGTTGCAATGTCCTGGGGGGGGGAGGTCATGTGACTGCCATTTGAGACCTTCCTAGGGGGATTCTGACAAGTTAATAGGGAAAGCTGGATTCACTTAATGACCATGTGATTTGCTTAATGTCTGCAGCAAAAAGGTCATAAAATTGGGCATAACTCTTAATGACTGACTGTGCTGCTTAGCAACAGTTCTGGTCCCAAATGTGGGTTATAAGTTGAGGGCTACTTGTATGCACATGCAGAGGGTGGATCCTCACCTCCTCCAGGGGAGTAATCGATGAGCTCTCACCCCCATAATATGGATTTCGGTCCATGTGCAACACCTTCTTGCCATTCACAGACATGATACCCGAAAGGATACATTCCTAAGATAGAAAGTGAGTAAGATTATGCCTGCTCTGTAATAAATTCAACTATGCTTCTAGTACATGGTTAAGTTCCACAATAAGAGTCCCCAAAGTGAAACATTAATGCATAAATAAGCACCTCATGAGTGCACTTGAGACTATTCTGTTCTCATGACCATCCCAATCTATTTCATAGAATTTCTCTAAGTATGCATGTATATGTATGTGTGCACATGTATGCATGTGTGTCTCTCTCTGTCTCTATAAAAAGGAAGGTTGATCCATAACAGAAATTGATTTCAAGGTCTGAGATATTGACAAGGAGCTTCTCCATTCAAGATGGGTGGACAAAGATCTATGTTGGAATTGTATTAATAGGTGACTGAAGTGAAACTGACATAGTGGCTTCCTGAACTTGACCTGAAGTCAAATAGCCTGATGTCATTTTGTCAGTATACAGCTTAGTAGTATAGCAGTGTTTCTCAACCTTGACAATTTTAAGGCATGTGGACTTCAACCCCCAGAATTCCACAGCCAGCAATGCTGGCTGTGGAATTCTGGGAGTTGAAGTCCACATGCCTTAAAATTGTCAAGGTTGAGAAACACTGCAGTATAGAGATTTAAGGCAAATCCTGAAGATAAGCTAAAGATGAATGGATGAATGTGCATGACTGTAAACAAAAAGAAGCTCCCAAAGGATTCTTTGTGTTATGAACATCAGTGCTTGAACTTAAGTTATTAGTAAATACATCACCTTGGTAGACTTCCACATCGTTCTGATAATATATTGACATTTATTTACACACAGGTTCCACCAAGTCTATAAATGTGTGGTGTACACATACCAATTTACAAATTTTCTACATTATTTGTTCATCACCCATTATTTAAACTGTCTAAACTTACTTCTGGATCAGAGTAAAACGGATTCAGCGACACAGTAGTGAAACAGGCATTCCTAATGTTGCGATCATACGTAATTCTCTAAACACTTAATTATAAATGGTACAGACATTACTGAATGTGTGCACGGGAACTATATCACTTCTCATCTGTGATGTCTCACATGTTATCCAAGAAGCTTTTGCATTTGTGCCTTCCTCAGCACCCCTTGGGTCATTGGTTCAAAGGTATTTCCTTCAAAATCCAGGGAGGTATTCAGAGATGTATCTGCCTTGAAAATAGCCTACACTGAATTGTACAGCACAGTCAAGCATCAGGAGCTAACCACAGGAAATGTTTATGACATTTTTACTATGTCACAACATGTTTTATATTTTTATGTCGTAAAATGTTTTTTTTAAATTTGCTTAATTTCAATTCCACAGGAATCTTGGATTTTGGATGCATTTTATAAGAGCCCATTTAAGGTACCTTGGTTGAAAAAGCTTTGCCCTAGGACAGTGATGGCGAACCTTTTAGAGACTGAGTGCCCAAACTGCAACCCAAAACCCACTTATGCATCGTCGAGTGCCGGGTGGGTGTGGCCCATTGGGTGGGCGTGGCTGCGGTGGTAACGGCAGACTGGGTGAGACTAGAAAGTTCAATCAATTCCAACTTTGCAAGATCTTTTTTTCCCCACGAGAAGTTGAAATTGACTGATTGAACCTTTTTTTTTTTTTTTTTGCACACGGCGGTGAAGGCCTAAAGCGAAAAGGTTTTATAAAATCCAGCTGAAGGCCTAGGACTGGGGAGACGGCATGCGTGCCCACAGACAGGGGTCTGAATGCCACCTCTGGCACCCGTGCCATAGGTTCACCACCACTGCCCTAGGATGCACTGTTTTGCCCAGTTAAAGATTACAGATATGAGAATTTTAATAGTGTATCAATCGTATTCCCTTGCAATAATAAATTGTATTTTGATTACACAATTAGGAATGTATAAGGGAAATTGGAGATTAGATCTCTGAATTAACATTTAAGGATATTTCTGAAAATTCACTTGTAACAATGCACTGGAAATGGGACAACAGAGTAATCTTGCTACAAACACTGATATCAATTTGGTGTCATCAGTGGGCCACTGATTTAGGGACTGAAAGTGTGGATACAAACATCTAAGGAAGATTCAGTCTTTTCTCTGCAAAAGAACCTTTCCATTGTTGCTCTGCAATACAGTGATAGGTCAGTTCTGTTATGAAAGGCCATAGTTTTGTGACTGATTACCCACTCTAAATGTGAAATGTCACAAATTCAATCCCTGGCATCTTCAAATTGAGTTAGGAAAGATTCCTGACTATTTGAACCCCTGGAGAAACTCTATTAATGCAAAAAATTCTTAACCAATGCTTTGACTTGGTAAAAGATGTATTTTTCTATGTTCAAGTGAAATGAGGAATCCTGCTTAAATGCTCATTAAAGGAAGAGGTAAGAGACTGAAAAAGGTGTGCAATGGATCAAAACCTCCCCCCCATTACAAATGCATGGGAACTACTGCTTGATTAGATGATTTTATTCCAGCACTTGGAATGACAAGAATGATAGAAGCAGAATAAGGCCTGTGTATAATATAGATGTAATATAGATATAAGGGCTGCATCCATTTCATATTTTGGCAAAAGGGTCAGATAGAACATAAGATCTTTTAAGACTGCAGAACAGAATCGTACAACACTGCCCCACACATGCACATTTTTCAAATTTAAAAAAGCAAGATGTGGAAGGCAGGAAAAGTTGTCCTATGCTGACTTTCAAAGAAAAAAAACCATCACTTTTGAGGATCTCATGAAATGGGAAAACAGTTACCTTGCTAGAAATTAATTTGGTTCTACCAATATACCAGCAGACAACTCAAAATACTCAGTATTACAGAAAGAAGACCCAATGATATAATGGGAATACTACAGTCTTGTAAAAAAAGAGAGAAAGAGGGATTACTGATATAATAAAGATAGTAGGAAAAGAAACAATTACTGTATGTCTGAGATTTGAAGAGGGTGCTAATTAACCTCAATAGAAAAAGCATTTACAGTAGCATTTTCAAAGGTGGGGGGGGGAACCATATAGATAGTTCAGTATTAAATGAACTGTATGTGGAAGATAAATTGTTTGAGTTTCAATGTGATAAACCCAGATCTGCTAAAATGCTCAGGATGGGGCACATAATCCTGCACTGCAGAGCCTTCAATCTTGGGCACTGATGGGAGACAGGATCACTGTTCCCATTGGTATTATAGGATCTGGGAGCAGGAGTGTAACAGATCTACCACAGATGGCAAAAGAACAGAAAGCTTGGGAATCACGGTGATACTATTCCTGCTTCTTCCTTTATCGAGATATATATGGACTACTAGATAATCACATAATTCTGCAAGAACAGCTTTTTTTACAAAATCAAAATAAACAGATTCCCCCAACTTAATGCCTATATTAAAGATGCAACTAGGGATCCTAACTAATGAATTAATAAGCCAAATAAGAAGAGTATACTTAAGGAATTAAATGAACAAATTAAGATCCATGCAGTTGGTGCCTATCATTTTTCCGCTTTCGAGAAGCGCTGATGGCGCCGGGTTGCATCAGAGGAGCTGCAATGGGGCCAAACGCACCATTCACTATGGAGTAGAGAACGGGATGAATGTAGGGCTGGACAAAACAACTACAATTCAGAAAGGTATACTATGCATCCATAGACATTGAGAAAAGAGCAGAGGAGGGTGCAGCGCCTGCAAGAGACGCGCACAATAGCCCCCACTCCCGCATAATCTATGCGCGTGATGGTGTGTGCGTGTGTGTGGCGGCGCCGAGTGCTGGATTTAGGGAAGCACTGCTGCGATCCTTAAGAAACGGGGAACTTTCAGGAAAGCCGAGCTGCTTATAGGGCAATGCAAGGATTGCAACCCCACCCGAACCTGGCAGGGCTTGCTGATGACGGACATGGATGCAGGAGCCGGAGAAAGGAATGCAAAATTGCACGGAGGGGCGCAAGGGGTGGAAGATGCCGGGATGGGGAGAGGAAGAGGCAGGGTAAGTGGCTCCGAAGGACTCACGGTCAAGCCGGTGCCCAGCACGATCACGTCGTAGGCCTCGTCCATGGTGCCGGCTGCACAGCCGCCTCCCCCCTCCCCGAGAGGAGCCAAGATGGGCCGCGGCACCCGTAGCCTCCCTGGATCCCTCCGCCGGAAACGAGTCCCGTTCAAGAATCTCTCCGCCGCGGGGAACCGCCCCAGCGAACTTCGCTTTTCCTATACCGTAGTTAGTAGGCGCCAATGGGAGGCGGGGCGGGAGACGAGAAAGACGCGCGAGTCGCTTTTCCCAAATTGGTGCCTACGCTTAGAAGCAAGAAAAAGAAGTCCCGAAGCCAGTGTGGGGCTGCTCGCTTGGGGGAGGGGAAGGAGGGGTTGTAAATCGCGGGGCCCCTGCCCCTCCTGCTGTTATGGCAACGACGGTGGCACCAGTGATCCGGTGCTGGAAGTAAATGGATCCGTAATTCTGAATAAAGGAGAAAATAATTCCCAACCATTCCCAACCCCCCAGGTGTAGCTTCCCTATCCCCACTCTCAAGCCTCCGTCAGAAACATCTTAAAAGCTTTGCTGCTTGCAGCGAATCCCAAGTTAATTCCGCCAAGAAAAAGAGATCCACGATGCGGGGTAGAGGGGGGGAGGGCAGTAGTTGCACCCACACTGGTTGCATGTTAATGGTGTCGGGGACTGCGGTTCACGCTGCTTCGGCTACTGAGGAATATTTTCGTCAGTTGCGAAGCTGCTTCCCATGCTCCAGCCGCTCCTCGCCAGCCATAAAATGGTTGATAGGGCTTTAGGTCGACTGAGCAATGTAGGACTGCAGCCTTTATGATCTCTTCTGCTTCTCCTTGATTGCTACCAAGGAAACACCATTGACTTGATTCATCTTAAATGTCTGAGTGCTGCAGTCGTCTAGGGAAAGAGGTTCAGACAGCAGTGCATATTTTTTCGCTGTTGCAATATGTAGTAAGACAGAACTACTCTGACTTGAGGAAAGGGAAGAATTAAAAATCCCATTTTGGACCCCAGCCTCTTCTGAAGATAACACACACTTTGGGTTCAGACTGTGATTACTCCAACCAAGACTGGATAAAAGCAATCTCTACAAGCCCAGAGAGCCATTGCCAATCCGTAGATACTGCTGAGGATAGTGCTCTGTCTTCAGCAGCATCACTCCTGGCTTCAGGAGGGCAGGCCCAGGACTATTATGGTATATACCAGGGGTAGGTAACCTTGGCTCTTTTATGACTCATGGACTTCAACTCCCAGAATTCCTGAGCCAGCCATGCTGGCTCAGGAATTCTGGGAGTTGAAGTCCACAAATCATAAAAGAGCCAAGGTTGCCTACCCCTGGTATATACACTCAAGCGTGTAATAAGTAAACATACAATAAGCGATAAGGAGAAAGAGGCCGAAAGGCATTTTATGCAAGGGATCTGTCAGTTCTAATGGTATTACTGACAGTGCTCTCAATAGGCAAAAATTAGATAAAATGATTGACTGGTCTTTTAACTCTTGGAATTCTAGGAGTTGATCTGCACTTCTTTCATTGTTAAGGCTGAGAAACGCTGTATTAGCGTTTAGCTTTACAGTGTTACAACAGATGCAGCCATTTCCTCTCTTGCTCATGGCACTATTTATGAAAATGCAAGGAAATGTCACTTCCCAATATCTTTTCAGCTACAGAGGTAGGAAGCATCTAATTCAAAGGCTTAGTATCTCCACTTTCCCATGAGAAATATAGTACAAAGCAGCACTTACATAATTTTGCATGATTAATTACAAGAGGATTTGAGACCCACAATAGCTTCAGGTATCATAATACTTTCTGTTAAATTCACTTAACATAAAACAAAAAATACTAGTTTTGCACTTTTATTCCCTGGGAAATCCTTATTAAAATTAAATAAGCATCCTTTTTTTCAATCCCCTTACTTTCTTAGTAACAACAACAATGTGAGGTACATAAGAAATGTACATGTTGTAATTTTCCATTTCTGCTAAAGGAATAGGCATATAGACACTTAGATATGGTATTTTTAGGAAAGGAGATGTAGTAAGCTGGAGGGATAGAGAAAAACTATATACAGACTTAAAGTATACTTTTAGAATAGTGCACGCTATTGTAGAATAGCATATAGCTTATGAATAACACATTCAATTTATATAAGGCTTATTCTTTATAAAAACTGCTTAAAGTTAGTATTTTAAAGTATAACTATGAACCAAAGTGCAGCCATGTTTAACCACAGAATGAACTGTTACACACATAGCTTCTAGATGAAAAGCAGGCATTCTTATAGAAAAACAAGAGAAGACATAAATCCTGTATAATTGCAATTATTCAGTATGGGTGGCAATTCACCTTGTAGATAGGGCTATACCTTGAGTTAGTAGGATGTTACAAATCATGTCACAGAAAAGGGAGTGAAGATAAGACAGAAACAAAAGGGGCATTTGATCTAATAATTGGAGGGTCTGGTAACTGTAACGATTGCTAGGCCCGTCAGAAAGCATGTAACTGGGTGAGCATATCAACTGGGCTCACTTTGGAAGGATGTGGCATGATGCACGGGACAGGATATAAAAACCTATGCAAAAATTGATTTAAGTGTAGACTCTGGGATTTGCCATTACCAAGAGTCCCACCGCTTTTGCAAAGCTTTAATAAAACTTGTTTTGTTTTCCAACACCCTTGGAGTTGAATTTTTATTCCTCACAGCAACTATGCACTTTTTATTTATTATAGAAATCCAGGAATGGGGATTCTTTTCTATTAAAAGTACAACATGAAAAATTCTCATTGCAGCAATACTACCTTCCTCAGCTACTACTATTATTACTTATCATCCTTGGCTGAGTAAATTGAGAGCATCCCCAAAACTTAGGCCAAGCTACCACAGATTACAATAGTACTGAATTATTATTAAAATGATAGGATATGTATATATATATTTGTAAGTGCCTTTACTTGTACAATAATTTGGCATATTTCTACAAGTTCCAGCAATCCATCATCCACTTTGTTTAAAGAGGATTTAAGAAACCAATTTTTCCCATTTCATATGAAACCCTGGTTCCCAGTATAGTTATAGTTCTATATACCGTAGTTACAAAGAAAGGTATCACTAAGTATCAATAATATACTGGCTACACAGAACTGTACTAAACAATGTGCTTTTAAGAGTGCCAAATCTAATTAGAATACTTTGAAATTATTCATGCATTGTTAAGTGTGATTTACTTGCAACATGTTTCAGGAAGTTTTTTATAACAGTGAAACATTTTAGCAAATGAAATGGATTCTCAAATGCAACTACTTCTGGAACTGGGGACTGGTAAGAGCAAACACATTGAAGATCCTTTTATTTTAACCACTGTCATAATTACTGATACGGGTAGATAATCTCACAAACTGGTGTCCACTCTTATCAATTTAGACTTATTGCAGCTTTTTATTAACCAAATAAAACCCATTTGAAAACTATGGATGTTCAATTGTTTTTCTTAAAATTGATTTTAATAAATACTAGCATATTAGTATTTATTAAGCCCTCAATTTAATTTTGAATAGTTAAATAAGTTTAACAAAATAAAGTTAAAATTAGTCTGTGAAAATGCTTTTATCATTGATACCTCATTTCAGTTTAGTCTTATTTTAAAGATTATACTTATACCTTTGATTCCACTATGTATGCATTTAATATTTTCTTGATTTTTAATTTTACGTTTTCTATAATGAAGTTCTATTAATCACTGATATGTGATTGATTTCATACCACAAAGTCTGCTGAGGAAAAGATTAATATTTATTGCGAATTAATCATTTGTAAAAATTGATTTTAAGCAGAGGGCTATTAAAATTAATCCAAGACTGCAAGTTGCTGTTTCCTGCCTTAAGATTTACTGAAAAATCAGTATGTCAGAATACAGATAGCAGCATTCATAACTAGCACTTACAACAGATTGTGGGAGTAAAGAAAGATAATATATTTGAATAGTAAACCATTTTTCCATGAATCCAACTAAAATTTAAGCTGTTTCAGAATCTGTTGTCCTTCATAGCTCACAAGGGCCTGCTACTTAATATTTAAAATGCATACTACACAGATTCAACTCTTTCTCCTTTATTTGCATTTTTCAAATTGCTGGAACAGCAAGTATGTCATGGGAGGGAAATCCCATCCAACCTGATCACAAGCAGCACAAAGTCCCAAATACTTGAGTTATCATAAACAAAACTAATCACAAGAACCACAAATAAATAAGGACAATGGGGAGAAAACTATTTGGAATACAGCAGTGTGGGTGCAAAAAGGGATCTCGGTAAGGCAAAGGGAGAAAAAAACATTCAAAATGAGAAAATGTACACCATTTTACATTACAAGGTAAGGTTATTTCTGTCCACTAGAAATGTAAAAGGGAATGGTTGTTTTCTTTGAGGAGATATAGCTTTAACAAACTTCAATGTAGAGATTCTCGTGTGCAAAAAACAGGATGTCCATCTCTACCCAGTATGGAAACAATACCTCTATTTACTTACAGCTTGTCTCCAGGAATATTAGATTGAGGGGAGAAAAACAAGGGGCTATACAAGGTAAAGACTCAGGACCACGTAGAATTTAATACATCAAGTTAGGGATTGGGATGATGACTGATGGAATAGGCAGAATAGTATACACAAGCTGGTCACTTTTTTTGATAAAATGAGATTCACGTGAACAGGCCACTATTCTGTCTGGGGCACAGAGATGGTAGGCCCCTTGGGGTCATCAAATCGGTCCATAGTCTTGAGGCTCATGATCATGTGGAGCCCATAGGTGAAGATAGCAACAAGAAGGAACGAAGTGAGCAAACCCATCCAAAGTCCAGGAGAAAAGAAACCAGCACAGTCACTAGCATCAGAAAATGTTTCATTTATCAGTTGGTAGCTTTGAATCTGCAAGGACAGAGAAATTGCATTAGTGTTGCAGGCTGGTTTAAATCTCCCTATACCTCGCTATATTCCCAACAGGATCTTAATAAATTCCATTACTACAGTATATAAAAGCAGTTCTAGCTCAGTGCCATTTACAGAGTCTACCAGAAGTCAGAGGATGTGGGAGATTGGCCTTGATCCCTGGCTGCCAATCAGAAAGCAACCAAAGCCCATTCTTCACAAAAATACCAGAGTAATTTA